GGCTAGCGATTAGATAAATGTCCTTTGGTAAAAACATCAAAGTGCTCTCCTTCAGGCAAAAAATAAGGGCCCTGGCTCCTGCCCCCAGTAGGGTGGCTTCTCCTGCTGCAGCCTGGCAGTGATTAAAAAGAGGCTCCTAACAGGATTCTATGTGAAAAGCTCTTCCACCCCTCCAGAGCAGGCAGCAAATTCCCAAGGGAACTCTGCTGCCCTCTCCTCCCCTGCTAAAATTCAAATCAGCCTCCCCATTCCCCATCTCTAAGGTCCTTGGTACTTGGGGAGCTAGTGTCTGTTCATGGCATTTCTTAACTTTTCACTTCCTTTAAATAACTTTTTTTAATCTGTTAAATTACCCTGAAAATTGCCCTTTTCATGTTAGACCTCCTACCATTGGAAACTGAAATATAAATATCAGACACTTATTCCCAAATTAATCCATTTTCTTGTTAGGGATGTTGATTGGGAACATTAAAATCAAGCTCCAGGACCGATGGTGTGGCTCAGTGGTTGAGCACGGACCCATGAACCAGGTCACAGTTTGATTCCCAGTCAGGGTACATGCCCGGGTTGTGAGCCGATCCCCAGTAGGGGGTGTGCAGGAAGCAGCCAACTGATGATTCTCATCATTACTGTTTCTATCTCCTTCTTTCTCAACCTTCTTCTCTGAAATCAATTTTTTTAAAAAAGAAATGTCTCCTAAAAAATATATCAAGCTCCATAGTACAAATTCCATTAATTTTTTTTTATTTCTTAAAATACTATATATTTTGTTTTAAAGGAATCCTCTAAATGAAGGGTGATAATAAGGGGATACCGTAATCCAAATCAGTTACTATTGTTTAATGGAAGAAAAGAGAAGGTTAGGCCATTGCAAGTAATTCCAGAAACAGGAGTATACTTGGCAGACAGCTCTCCATGGAGGAGAAGAGATGCATTAGAAGTGTCGGGAGTTGGCACTTAGCTTTCAGTTCACCACTGAATAAGGGTGGGAAGATGACAGCATTTCAGCATTTGCGCTTCAATTAGGAAAAAAAGTGTTGATTTCTTAAAACTATGAGGTTTTCTCCTTTTGACACTTCCTAAGATGCTACTTCTGTTCAATATAACTCTGGACTAGGGTGGGTTGATCAGCAAGCCCCATCTGGAAGTTTTCTGCCACATACGACCCAAAGACTAAGCAAGCTGGGAAAACAAAAGTGTTACTTGGTTAAGAAGAAAAATAATTCAACCAAGATGCCATTCACTGGGCTCCAAAGTAGAAAATAAGTGCATCAGACTTAATTATCCAGTCCTGAAAGACACAAAACAAGTCTGTGCAGGCAAAGATTAACGACAGGATTTTTTTCAAAACAAGGATGTATGGTGATATTCAAGTTTTTCTGAATCCTTCAGTTTGGGATTTTAAGCCATTTAAGGTTACTTTCTGCATTCTTATATCAATTTCCTTATTCCTACTCCTAACAGGGAAGGGGCCACGCACACAATGCATACCAAGCAAGTTAACTCAGCGTGACAAAGGCATTTTCATGTCAGATGCAAGCCATTCATCCTTTCCTTAAATACCTGGGTCTCTTGATTGGAATCCTGGTTGGTGAACTCATCTCAGCACATCTCATCTGATAGAAGCCAAGCACCAGGTAAACACTCAACAGAAGAACTCCATTAGATTTAGAAGCAGGCTTTCCAGACTTCTCAGAAATTATTCATGTAGCACACTAACACCCAGCCCTGATGCAGGTTTCATGGATAGGCTTAGGTTCCAAAGTATCCCCTAAATGCTCTTCACTATTGTTCTCACTCCCAAATTAAATGCCTCTGCCAGTAATGACCATTACTATCGTATTCAGGCTACTCTGGCCTTGCTTGTATTCTGAGATGCTACTCAATTTCACTCCCAAGAGCTGGTTATTAGGTCTGATTGAAGAGAAATCCCTTGTCTTAGCCCAGCTACCGCTTCTACATAAGGCAAGGCAGAGTCCCACTGTCCCAGAGATGGTCCCCTTGGCCGATCAGGGAAGAGTTAACCATATCTGGTCTAAGCACATTGGACAGGAAAGCAAAGCTTCCAGATTCAATACCTCTTGAATCAAACTTCAGAAATTTAAACAAGTAAAAAGCCAGGTACACACAAGTTGTGGAAAAGTTTTTCGTGTTAACAATAAAACAATGTGTATTTAGAAGGTATCTACAAAGATCCTTAAAAATGGATGAACCCTGTTCCAAAATATGACTCTCTTGCCTGGAGGCCAGGGGAAAAGTGTTCTGGAGTTTATGTAAACAAGTTTTTCCCCAAGCTTCTTGTAATTTGGGACTCTGTTCATACTGGACATTTTAGTTCTTGTTTTTCTTTTTTTTAATACTGATTCTATTGAGAGGGAGAGAAATATCTATGAGTTGGCTCCTGCATGCCCCCCAACTGGGGAACGAGCCCACAACCTGGATATGTATCCTGACCAGGAATCAAACCTGCCATCCTTTTGTGTACAGGATGACTCTCCAACTGACTGAGCCACAGAGGCCAGGGCCAACTTAGTTCTTTTATTGCACTTGTACATATTTCTAAAGCTAGGATGACTTACCAACTGGAATTTTGTTGTTTTTGATGTCATTGGCTTTGTCCTTTCAGCTAACCACAAGCTGGTGATTTCATTACTAAAAACTGGACAGCTTGTTCTTATCTCTCAGCAAGGACTGGTTAATTACCTACTGGTTCAGATTTTAAATGGGTTAAAGGATGAACACTAGAGTCCATAAAGGGATAAACCACAAATAGCTGGTCTCAAGACAGACAGTCTCTGCCTTTAAGTACAGGAAAGGATCATCACAGGGAAATAAATTCTTTCTCCATTCCCAGCCCCGGCAGGAAAGATATGCCCAAAATGTTAGGTTGCAATAAAAATCCCCAACAGTAAGGAGTCTTTATGCATGTTGTTGAGATTCAGAGTAAACTGTTCCTCTCTGAGATGATCTCGACTGAGACCTCTACTGAATGTGGCTGGAATATCCTCTGAAATGCCCTTGCTAGCTCTTGATTTTTATTAAAAGCAAGGTCCTTCCTTTGGTGATAGAACATGGAAGAAAATAATGTACTTAATCCAGCCACATCAAATATGTCAGCAAATGCTTTTCTATTATAAAAATTGAAGTAGAGACTGAGTGACTCCTTTCAAGGGCACTCATCACCCAAAATATGGCTTGATCTTATTTTTCTATCACTATTTTCAACCACGCTGTTTTTCCTCATCAAATCTGCTGATTACCCAATCAGTTTTTCAGAGTTCAACGGATTCCAAGGTTTCTATCAGACTGTCCTACCATCCTCCACTCCTAACTACCACAGCTGCCCTCGTGTCCTAAACAACCAACTCTCTTGGCACCATTTTCCTTACTCCCACTGCTGCCTCGGTGTTACCCTCTACCCACTATGTCTGGAACAGTCCCCCACTTCCATCTGCGAAATTACCCCTTTCCTCCCGAACTTATCATTGCCCCAAAAGCTCACCTCACCCAGGAAGCCTTCCTCAACCAAGACTGAGGACTCTTCAGATTATTACAGATGTCACCTGACATTGATGTCCAGTGCATTCCGAATTTTTAGAGCCAGAATTGCCTTTCAGGGATAAGACACAATCCCTTCATAAGCAACGGAGAGCAAAGTGGTAGTAGCATACATTTTTCTAAGAGAGACAAGTATGCAAAGAAAAGAGACCATTTCCATAAGCCACCCTTTTTAAAGATTGAAGTTCTTAATTATTCTAATTCCTTCAGATCCTCAGTTTCCTTGTCATTTGTAACCCCCTTGATGAAGTCTATTAGCAAGCTACATGCATATTTACATCAGTCAAAAAGTCTGAGCAGACATTTCCAACAAAGTATAATATTTTAATTAGATATCTTGAATGTTGAAAGAACCAGTGACTAGAGGTAATTTGTGCAGATTCTGAAGTTATTTCTATATATACAACTTTCCTTCTATTAGAAATGGGATAACCATGACTCTGAGTTTGGCTTCTTATTCTGCAGAAAGTTTTGAGGACCAAGTTTCAGATGTGGTTGAGTTACTCACCCTCATATCTACTGAGTTCCATATATGACTCTGCTTTACTTTTGTTTTAAAAGTAGCTTTTATTGCAGGCTAGCCATTCCCCATTAAGAAATTAAGGTTCAGGTTTCAATCCAAGCAAAGTGGAGGATAGTTGCATCATCTCCATCCTCAGGGGCCTGGTGTCCTGGGAAACAGGGGAGTCCAGGACACATGTCAGGAGAGACAGTGCAGTGTGTTGAGGCAGGCATCCAGCCCCCTAAGTGTGCTGTAGCTACCAGAACATTTGACACCACAAATTGAACAGCAAAACATTTTAATCTATTAATTCTAAAAATAATTGAGACATTTTACATCTGATGCCACCTCCTCAAAAGTCTACTGCAGGTTAGACAGACTGCAAAGTACAAAGCCAGACATTCAAATTAAAGATGCAGTTTGGGACAAGACCATGATGAGATTTCCCTCCTTTTTGCTCAAACGTAAGTTGTCAAAGAATCCTCAGAAGGAAGGAGAAAGCTTTCTCATGCTCCATAACCATTCTCTTACTGTAAATCTGTCTGTATTGTTTGAAGGCAAAACAGATAATAAGAAAACCAACCATTGAAATACAAAAGTGTGAGTGGGACCCATGGGACTGGAGACTGGTTTAATTCTATTTCTACCAACAACATGACGTGAGGTACTATGGTTCTTGTTTTAGTTACAAGAGGTGCTAGGAATGAATACCCACTCACGTTTAATAATAGCACATCTAGCATTTAACTCTGTAGCACAATGCCAACAGCAAGAGTGTTTTAAAGCAGGGTAGAGAATAAAGTAGACATTCTCACAGCTTAAGGTTTCTTTTGTCCTTTCCCCTTGTTTTATACTGAGAATTCGGCTCAAGAATATCCATACTGTCCTTTGGTCCAACACATTCCAAACCTGTGATTTCAGATCCCAAGCTCTGAGGGCTTCAGGCTTTAGTGATGTAGCCTTCTCGAATAAGGAAATCATAGATCTTCCGGGTTTTGTTCACGTCTATCTTGATGAGTGCTCTTGCCTGTGCCAGTCTCAAGCCTCCTTGCTTGTTACACTCATTCAATAGAGCAGATTTGTATTCTAAATAGGCTCCAGGGACCAATCTCACCATCTGACAGAGCTGTAAAACATGGCAAATTTAATAAACATTAAACATCTACCATTCTCATAAGTTAATCCGGCAGGTATAGCCAAAACAAAATTTAAGAAGTGACATCAACCTCCAACTATTTATAGGAGATGTTGGGTGGCTGGACGACATTCCTTTTAGTCTCTTCCTTGGAGGGAATACTCACTAAAGAGAGACACACTCAGGAAGAGAAAGCCAGGAAGTGACGCTGGGAGAGCCTTTAGCAGGTGTTGGTGGGGTAGAGGCCCAGCACATTCCAACACAGCCAGTCATGGGAGAGCCACAGGGCTCAGTGAGGGTGGCGGTGCAGATACTTGGGTTCCCAAGTGTGAATCACATTATTTTTAGTATTGGCATAAAGTAGTGGTCCCTGCTTTTGTGATTACTTTTCCTACTTTGGGAGAGAGAGGAGATAGAGATCTTTTTAAAAGAGGACATTTTTTAGCTGCTAACATTTTTAGAAAGCTGGCTCGTTCCAGTTTACTTGCCATTATCCAGCAATGAGCCATCTAAGGTCACTGTGTTGTGGTTAAGGATAAAAAAATGCTTAAAAAAAAAAAAAAAACTCCAGGCCATTTAATACTTGGATCCAAATGGCCTGTGACCTTTTTTTTTTTTTTTTTTTTTTTTTTTTTTTTTAGCAATACTTGAATATAACATATTCCTAAACTAATCTTTACTATTCCTAGTGGATATAACAGAAGACTAATACTAGCCCCATCTCCTAGGCAGCTCTTTTCTATCTGACCTGAATTAATGGTACAAAGTGGCAGACAGGCACTGATCTGGGACCTGTAAAAGGAGCATCTGAGGAACAAAAGAGGAATCCCTTTTTTTGGAAAGGACTTTAGAGCCGAAAACACTTTTGAGGCTGGATGTAAATTTTAGAAACAGCCAAAAGTAACACGAGGACAAGTCTGATGATTATAATGGGAAGGAAAAGTGAATCATGCCATTTTAAAATCAAAATTAATGTGTGATTATACATGATGAAAATTTCCTTTCTTTATGCTTATAAACATGCTATGGAGACAATTCCAAAAATCTTTTTAAGTGAATGTTATACTGTTGGAAAAAGTGTAGAATAACTCAACGTGACCATTGTAATAGGAAGTAACCATTTTTCAGGTATATGTTATTTTAAGTTTATAAAAATTAATTCCATTTACTTAAAGCACTCAGTACAGTATCTGGTACGTGGTTAATGCTCAGGAAACGACAGCTGCTATTATTAAGATTTATACATCATATGCTCTTCTCCCGGAAGGTAAATGAGGGCAAGGTGACAGGGAAAGGAGTCCTTTGAAACCTGCTGAGGTTAGCTCTGCAGCGCACAGCCTTCGGGGACGGACTAGAACTGTGCATGTCGTTAGCTAAGCAGAGCAACCCGGGTTTGACCCTGTAACGGCCTCTTTCCTCTGTCGCCCCTTTTCTGTTACCTCCTTTTCTTTTTCGTTCAGCTTCTCCGTGCCAGGGAGGCCCGTGAGGTTCAAGGGTGGTGCGCTTCGTCTACCTACAGACACAAAGAGAAAAGGGCACATACATATGTCATAGAAGTGACAAGTCCTCAGGTGGAAAATATAGCAAAGTTCACTGCAGCCCGGCCAGTTAGGCAATTATGGCCGGCTGGAGGAAATCTCCACCAGTCCCCTCAGGCGCCAGTTTAATTAGCAACACGGGCTCCACAATGTTTACTTGAAAATAGCAACGCTAATTTGTGTGCCCTTTGCTTTAGCCTGGCCGGGGTTCCTCAGTGGTTGAGCGTCAATCTATGAACCAGGAGGTCGCGGTTTGACTCCCAGTCAGGACACATATCTGGATTGCGGGCTCAATCCCCAGTAGGAGGCGTGCAGTGATGATTCTCTCTCATCACTGATGTTTCCATATCTCTTTCCCTCTCCCTTCCTCTCTGAAATCAATAAAATTATATTTTCTTCTGAACCCAATAGGAGATTTTAAAATCTAAAGCCCCCCCCCCCCACACCCAAAACAAACAAACAAAAAACGGGGGCATCTGTAATACTTTTAATAAAGATAAATTTAAAATTAAATTAAATTAAAAAATAAAATCTAAATCCCAGAGCTCATTTAGTTAAGAAAGGTCATACACTACCTGCCTTGACAGCTGATGAATGGAAATAACAACTCTGCAGGAGACATTTCCTAATCCTTGCCACTCTGCCAGCAGTACAAGGCAAACATGGTAATTAACCAAGTACCATTTGCCTTCAGATCAAAGGCAGACTGTTAGGCCAGCAAAAGGCCCTTCTTATTTATTATGTGAGGGAATATCTGTTCCTTCCAAAGCAGCCCTGTTTACCGGAAAGATCCACGGAGAGGAACAATGAGCTATTATATGGCAAAGGAGAGGCTGAGGTGAACTCACATACCTGAGAAGGAAACCTAAGTATGAAGACACTGCCCGGGATGGGAAGCTTGATGTGCAAAATTTCTTGGTTTGTGTTTGAGATTAGTGTTCAGTTGGGGATGGGTAGACTGAGTTAAGCAGAAGAAAGTGTAGATAAACATGCTTCTCTGTAAAATGAACAAAGGGGACAAGGGCTTCTCCACAAAGAGCAGGGGGTGAAGGGGCCAATGCCAGCCTAGGAAGTCAGAAATGACCAGTGAGTGCAGGTTCGGAAACACAAACACCGATGTTGCATAGTCATGTTACTTCATCCTTATTTATTTATTTATTTGAGAGAAGGGAGTGGGGAGAGAGAGAAACTTTTTAAGTCTCCAACTTAAAAAGAAAGCCTTGCATTTCTGGCAAGTAGCATGCCTCTTTGCTCATATAGGACGCAACACCTTTACTTTCTCCCCTTTGAGAAAGTAAATCTCAAAATCTGTGGTAGATACAACCACAGTAAACTAACTCCCCCTATGGTAAAATAAAGAAACCAGCTCTTTGGAGCTATTCTTCCCTGTCTCTGTACTCTAATCCTGAGGCTAATCCCTGTTAAGCCTTGACGATTCTGAAAACTTGCTTGTGTTTATAACTTGGGACAACACATGATTACCATTACTCTGCATAAGCACCCTGATTCCACAAAAAGGGGGGGGGAGTCTGTTGGGTCAACACAATCTCTAGAATGAAAACTTAACAATCAAGATTTGCTCTAGCTTGAAAAGTAATTACCTGAATTCGACGCCATTGAAACAGAAGGACTCAAGCCGGAATCACTACGATGAAGAAGAGGAATTCAAATTTATGTCACGCCAGGGAAGGCAGTTTCCAAAAGCACACGGGGGACTGGCTGCCATTTATCAGGCCGGTTACTCCGAAGAGATGTAATGAGATAGACTGCACATGTTTTACAGGTTATCCCACTGGCAAACCAGGAAAAGCCATCTGTTCTGGGAGCGGAAACCACTTGGATTTGTTAAGAGCTGAGCCCAGAACATCACGGGGACCATTCATGAGAAAAGACAGGAACATGCTTCTCTAATGGAAAGTATACCAGTAGATACGGAGGGAGTGAGGAGTTACTTATTTTAAAAAATAAGATCAAAGTAGCAAAGAAGGATTGCAGGAGGCAGTTATGTTTCTCAAAACTGTCATACTGCCTTGTTTCTGAGACAGACTCCTAAAATTTTCTGAATTCTTCCAGCTACCTGATTATTATTACTACTCCGCCATGGGTAGGGTGCCCATGGAGATGCCTGGAAATACGTAAAGGCCAAAAGGATGCTCCTCCACCCCGGACTAAGCGCTCACATGTCGGCCTGCCGGCGGAGCCACTGCTGGCAGGCGCTGCTGTCCTGGATGTACTGCAGGACCTCGGAGAGCATGGTGCGCTTGAGGCGCTCCTCCTCTCGCGTCTTCTTGAGGTGATCGTAGGTCCTGGCGCCTGGGGGTGTAAAAACCCACAACTGCAATAATGATGCAGAACTGAGAAGGGCTTCCTAGCTGACCAGCAAACAGCTTGTCTTTTTTGTTGTTGTTGTTTTTGCAAAACTGCTTCCACAATTAATTTTCTAAAAGCAAAGTAGATTTCTCCTACCGGTAGTTTAAAATCCCTTTTTAAGTTAAGAAATTAAAATATCTTTATTCCTTTTTTTTTTTTTTTTTTTACCTTTAAGAAATGTTGAGGGGAAAGAAAAAACCCAAAACAGAAAAGTACAAAGAAAACAAGATGATTCATCTTTCCACCCCCAAAAGTAATCAACATTCAATATTGTTATATTTGCTTCCTGTTCCATTTTTCTATGTATGTATTTTTCAGTGACACAAGTGCTGTAAGCAAACATTCTCTCTTAAAAAGCAATTAGAATTACAAATAAAAACAAGCCTTCACCCACCAGTACTGTTCCTTTCCCCTCTGTCCCAGAGGCAGCCAATATCAGGTAATCAGGCCCTGGGATCAGAGATTTTACATGCACGTGGCTAAACAAAAGTCATGAGTGTTTTATACATGTTAACATGTGCCAAAATGCCACACCCTTGGATTTTGAACTGAGTTCCACGGAGCCCCCTGGCCCATGAACACCCATCGGGGCTTACAGGAAGAGCAAGGGCACCACCACATACGGGTGGTTGTGGGCTCTACACCTGACCTGAACCACTGTACTTGAGCCAAAATAGTTCCACTTTTACCTTACTTATAGATTAGGGCTCCATATACAATTCTATTTTGAAAACGATTTCCATTGTTAAAAACGAAGAACCATTATACTAAGCTAAACTTACACGCAGAGGGCTACTTCCTGTGGGGACTGGGTGATTGCTTTCAACCACCAAGAAGGAGGGAATGCTAAAGATCATTCCAACAATAACAATGAAACAGCAGGAGCTGCCATTTGTGGAGGATTTACTGCGTGCCTGCTACTGTACTATGTTCTCATGCATTAACTCTAATTTATCTTCAGACTAATTCTAAGAGACTTGGAAAATTAAAACTGGAACAGAATTACAGATCTGGGAAACAGGAGAGCCAGAATCTAAACCCACGCTGTCCAAGTCTAGACCTCAAGCTCTTAACTCCCATGACACACTACCTTCTCTTTTGACCTGGCCGTACTACACATAGCTCTTTAATCACTTTAAACCTTAGCTTCTTCATTAAATGGAAATAACAATATCTCACTCATGAGTTTGTTATGAGAATTAAATGACAGGATCCAGGTGAAATGGTAGCATAGGGACTGGTGCATGGTAAACTGTTTCTATGAGATGTTAGCTACTATTAATATAATTAATATCACCACCTCAGTCAAAGCACCTAAAGCTAGGTGAAGTTTGGTTAATAAGAATGTTTAGACTATGCATCACTAAATGTTAACTGGCTGAAGCTAAAAATTAAAATACAAATCCTTTTTTTAAGATGCTGTAGAATCCTAAATCTGAGCAGTGCCTCTCTTTTGTAACTTCTATTTTACCTCAGATAATCCATATAGTGGTATTTATAAGGATTAAACAGATGAAACTTTATTGAAAGCTTTAAAAACTCAAGTCTGAAAAAGGAAAGCTTATTTAAAAAACAACACACCACATCACCTCAAACAGACTTCCTCTGTGTGTTTGGAAGACATCTGTCCTCTGATAGAGCATGTAGTACTTACTACAAAAATTGGTGATGCCTGCTGTCCTGTATTCCTGGAGCCGCTTGATTTCCCTTCGGAGTTCAAATTCCACTGCTCATCCCCAAAAGAACGAAGGAGAAAAATGGGGGGGGGGGGGGAGAAGAATATTAATGGGCACTTTTGCTGAAGACCATTTTAAGTAATTCTGCCTTATATAAAGACTGGGCCATTCCATTTGGGGAATCCTATTTGTTGGTAATATCTCATTAGAAATTTTACCCAAGAGCTGAGAAATACCTCCTCCAGCTGCTGTCTCAACTGGAGACAGAAGCAGCTGCAACCGTCTCTTAGAAAACTTACAGTGAACTGGCTGAATTCATTTAGTTAGAGAATAACAAACTTTTAAACAGCCAAGTTTCCGTGCTCTACTTATTCTGTGTTAAAAGTTCTACCACATAACCAAATTCTTTTATGAAACCTGTCTCTGGTATTTTTGATGTGGCCCTTTTGCAAGGGAAGGACAAAAGCTCTGTGCTCAAGTCCCAGATAGTTTCTTTCTTCACAGACACAAAGGAGCATTGTGTTTCCCATAAACCAAAGATTTCTACTTCCTCTGAGCACACAGACCAGGCCGCGCTGCTTGGGTCATTTGGGTGCTTTGTAACAGAGGATGAAGGGAATGCCTGGACAATCCGTGGGTGTAGTTCCTTGAAGTGATACATAACCCAGGGATGGCACAAACTGGGACAGGAAGTAAAGCATCAGTCACCTCCTATAAATCATACGAAGAATAAAACCAGACAGGGTGTTGGTGAGGACAATCAATCTGGTCCAGACAAATGCCTACCATGCCATGTAAGAAATATCTGCATGATGAGAACGGGGTGAGAGCCTTGCTAAAGTACCTCCCCAGAACTGAGCTTATGTCAAACACAAAAATCTCATGATGAAGGGTAGAAACTAAACCACCCCACCTCTTTCAAGTCTAGGCTTCCCTCCCTTAACAACTTTAATTTTTTTTATAGCAAAAAGTCAAAGGATAACTAAATAGAGCTCTCTCAGAGAAACAGGCGAGAGAATGATGGAAGTACTAGCTACATGAGTTATCTAATTCTGTCCCCACTTAAAAAACTAGTTTTAAGACCTGGCTGGTGTGGCTCAGTTGGTTGGAGCATCACCCTGTGCACTGAAGCATCTCTGGTTTGATTCCCAGTCAGGGCACATACCCAGGTTTCGTGTTCCATCTGTATGTGGGGCACATGCAGGAGGCAATCAATTGATGTTTCTCTCTCACATCAATGTTTCTCTCTCTCTCCCCCATCCCCAACACATACCCCTCACCCCCTTCCTCTCTTATAATAAATTTTAAAAAATACCCTTGGGTGCGAATAAAAACAAAAAACTAGTTTTAAAACTAAAATATTTATAGACAAATAATATAACGTCTGGGATTCACTTCAAAATAATCCAGTTGAGGGTGGGAAGGAAGTTTCAGAGATGACACTGGATTGGCCATGTGTTGACAGCTGTTAAAGCTAGGTGATGGATATATGGGGGTTGATTATACTATTATCTCTGTTTTTGTATGAAGTTTTGAAAACTGTCATAACAAAAAGTAGGGGGAAAATACTAAACTACTGTTTATATGGAGAAAAAAACACCACTAGGTTTTTTACTTCTTATCCAACTCTGAAAGCCCCAAATTAATTTCATGGTAATAAAGGCAGACAAAGACAAAAATATCCATGTATTTATTTACGAAACTTCACATAAAACACATCATTATCTCTCCTATTTTTATAATCTCTCTCTCTCCCTCTCCTCTCTCTCTCTCTCTCTCTCTCTCTCTCTCTCTCTCTCTCTCTCTCTTTCTCTTTCTCTCTCTCTCTCTCTCTCTCTCTCTCTCTCTCTCTCACACACACACACACACACACACACACACACACACCCTCAAGGCTCAAAATCACCTACGTGCATGGCTTTCAATGAACTTGTCATGCTCCACTGGCCCCACAATCCTTGCAAATCGCCTCATTGTTTCATAAAGGTCTTGGACCTCCTTGGGATACCGCCGTTCCATTACTACAGAGAAAGTAAAAAACAACCACATCACAAAGAATATAAGGATCCCGAAGTTTCTGCATTTCCTTCACAAGAAGTGAAATGGAAGGACATTATTCATAACCTCAGATGACTCATTTACCCATGACAGGAAGCAAACAGGAAAGCTAAGAATGCAAAACACTAATCAAAACAGCATCACGATTATCACACAGGGATGTTGCTATCACAGGAGAGCATCTGCACCACTGAGCACCCTGATGACCTTCGCACCTCACTCTCTCTTATCTGTCCAGGGGCAGGAATTGTTGGCAGCAATGGGGAAAGACAATTAAAGGCAGATCATACATTCTTGGGAACAATGTTGGGCAAATTTGCTCAAAACTTCTGCAGGAAAACCAGGGATGGGCAGACACAATAATCCATCCGGAAGAGATTAGCTTGGAAAAAGTGTATGATCTTTTATATGCATCACCAAAAATCTTCCTCCTATTATACATACACTTACTCAGGTGAGGCATATGGTATTTCTTCACTAAATTAAGTACCACAACTTAAGTTCTATTTTGATAACTATCATGCAAGTAAATGGTCACATATACAGGATACCTAGGGTCAGCAACTTTGAGGATCACTACTGACCAAATGACTAATAAAAAGAGACACTGGCAAAGAAGATGGGAAGTAACACCCTTAAACAATATAGTAAGTAGTAGGGTGGGGCAGCCAGAAACCCTCCAAGTGCTACTTGGTCATTTCAACCAGATAATAACAACTAGGCCAATTCTGCCCACCTCTGACAGTTATTTAAATTAAGTCCTCTTGTCAGATGAATATTTCTCCTTGCAGGAGACATTCTTACCAACAAATTCTAAGAGCTAATTACTTGGGCAGCCAGCAATAGATTGTTTTCACTATTAACACCATCTGCCTTCCCTGTCTCTCACTACAGGGATAATATAGAAGAATTTGTAGTATAATTTTAAAATTTGATGGAAAAAAAAAACCCTTTGCCTACCATAAGCTGAAGGTCACATGTACATTCAGTATAATGACCACTGAAAACCTCTGAAACCACATTGCACATGTCACAGTTAAAAGAGTAAGAAGGCTAAACTGACCTCTGTCCACCACCTGAGATTAGATATACACAAGAGTCACGGTCTACTATAAATAAAGGTTAATAACCCACTGACCCTATTATGAATAGCCTGTGGCTACCAGAATGGACCAATTATTGTCTTCAGAAAAGGCAACGGAAATCTGCTCCTGAGTTATTTGTGCAAACCTACAGCTCTCAATAAAGATGAGGTTAAACAGGCAATCTCATACACTGCCAGAAGGAATACAAATTGATATAACAGTTTTTGTAGAGCAACCTGGCAGCAAGTGTCAAAAGTTTTTCTTCATCATATTCTTTGACCTATTAATTTCACTTCTGGGACTCTACCAAAAAAAGATACATAAGTCTAAACATAGAGAAAGTTTTATTCATATACAAGTTCATCACAGCATTATTTTAATGATTAAACAAATGAAAATATGTTAACTAATAATAAAAGGCAGGTTAAGCATAGTATTATATATGTATATATACAACACATTATGTAATTGTTAAAATGACATCTTCCAAACACCACAATCACTTGAAAAGTGTGTAATGGAAAGTGAAAAAATAAAGGACATAAAATGTAACATATTTATGTTCATGACTATATCAAAAGACAACCACTATGTCTGGCTGACCTGAGCCCTATAGGAGCACAGAGTATCAAAACCTGTAAGAGACTATCAACTAAGATAATTATTAGGTACTTAAAAATATACAAATTATTGTGACATACAACTATTATAAACTTTTCATTTAAATATTGCAATTACTCTGAGATCATCATTCTAATTTGCTGAACAAACTCTTCAGTGTAGAAGAAAAGGGACAGGAACTCTCTCTGCCCAGCTTAGGAATCTCCAATATTTAAAAGAGTAAAGTCAAAGTTGGCATTAAAAAAAATCACCAAAAACAAACAAACAACAACACACTTAGGTTTATTATCACCATCACACAATGCTAAAAGCCATGGTTATTTGTTTGTCTACTATGATACAAATTAGAAAAATGACTTTCTGTTGATTTAAAAAACAAAACATTTTTACAACCTGGTGTTCAAGGTTATGTTTAACATATAGTTCCAGAAAATGATTCATGCATACTCATGTTGCTATACAGTAATTACTATACTGATTTTTAAAAGATTATCATGCAAATGTTGACTATATATTAATGGCTCTTAACTCTTATTATTCAGCAGAGTCATTTTGAAGACTTTTATCTTCATTTGCTGGAGGTCCAATGCACGAAATTCGTGCAAGGGGCTCGGCCCTCTCAGCCACAGCTTCGTCTGGAAGGTCGTTCAGCTGTCGGATCTAACTAGCATATTACATTTTTATTATTACAGATTGCCTTGAAGACTTTTTAAAAATACAGATGCTCTATCTCTGTCTCCAGAGATTCTGACTTAATTAGTCTGTGGTAATACTGTGGTATCAGAATTCTTTAAAGCTTCCTAAATGATGGTATTATACAACTTGAATTATGAACTACTACCATAAATGATTTAAAACTACTCAGTTAAGGTTGGAAGAAATTTTAAAATAAAGAAAACAGCTAATACTTACACTGAAACTTCCTAAGGTTGATTAATCCATGATCTCTTATAATTCTAGAATGAAAATCACAATGTTTATTATAGTCAGTTTTACATTTGATAATGTTTTCCACATGCAGCTTTTGCCAGACATCCTAAATATTCTGAGGTGAAATATCGGGGTCTAAAGAAGTCACTCCCCACATAGTTCTGCGAATCAGTTAGTCACTAACACAACTGTAGGCTCTCATTTTCCCCTCTCCTTGGGCTGAGCAGACTCTCAATAACTATTTGCTGGATGAATGAATGAACCAATTAACATTTACAAATACTGAAAAATACATGTCTCTAACTTAAGATGAAACAGAAAGGAAGCTGTATTCATGTCATAAAAATTAACTTATTCAGCTTAGGGAATTTAAGGGAAATTTAGGGGAACCCTGTTAACCTTGAAAGGACAGCATGAGCACACATTCAACATTTACAACTGTACACTGACATAATGCTTTGAAACTATTTGAAATAAATATTATGCATGTTTAATGGAAGGGCATCATAAAACATAATATCTAATAGCAGCCTCAACAATTGAGTTCTATAATACTGTCTAGCTCAAACTGGGTGTTTAAAGCAAAACAGAATTTAAGTAAACCATACAGAATGATGTGCCTGGAACCTTTGATTTATACCAGAGGTATTCATGATTAGCTAGGAAGCTTCTCACGAGAGCAGCAGGTTAGCTTCTTATCTCTTCTCAGAAGCTAACTCAGACACCCAGAGAGTGAGCTTTACTTTGTATCACATCTTGGTCCCTGAACTGTGTCTCCCAATTTAATCAGTACAGCAGTTCCCAAGTTCCAGTCCTTTTTATTGTTGTGATGCCACTATGTCTCTAGGTAGTAACAGCACATGTTAATAACATGCCTCCTCCCTCTCTCTCTCTCTCTCTCTCTCTCTCTCTCTCTCTCTCTCTCTCTCTCTCTCTCTCTCTCTTTCTCTCGTTAGTAACATGCCTCCTCTCTCTCTCTCTCCCTCTCCCTCTCCTTCTCCTCCTCCCTCTCCCTCTCCCTCTACCTCTACCATTACCATATATACCCTTCTCTGAATTGTAAAAAGACTCTGTAAACCAACAGGGGTCTAGGATCCATAATTTCTCAATCTGTTTTTTGTTTTTTGTTCTATTGCAAAAAGAAGAAATAATCAAGAGTGCCTGAAACTTATTCAGAATTTCCTTTGAAATTCTTTTAGATAAAAGATTCTCAAAAAAAAAAAAAAAATCCATTAGAATGAGAACATTACAAAAAAGCATAACAACTTAATAAAATCTTGAATTTATTTTGTTCCTTTTTTCCTTAAAACAATGCACCCACATTCTTCACTGTTTATCAATACTTCAAGAAAGGTTAAGGAGGAAGTAAAACACACACACACACACACACACACACACACACACACACATAAAAACAACAACAAAAAACCCCAACAGGTATTATTCTCATTTGATAGATGAAAAAATTGAGATCCAAGGTCTTCCTCAAGGTAACAAGATAAGCCACAACAGAAATGTACTTACATACTATATGTGTATGTGGTCAATAGTCGAAAGCTGAAAGAAGGGTCTTAGTTTTCTATACTTACTTTTTCCGCCTTTGTCTCTCCTTTAACCTGGAATGGTAGATATCTACTACAGCCATCTTCAGAGCTTTAAATAAACAAACAAACAAATACATATAAATAAAGCCAAGTCAAAAATAAAAATCTTTAAACCTCATATTGCTAACTATTCCATAGTCACTCAGTGGTCTAGAGACCAATCATTAATTACAGGGAGAAAAAAAAATAAGAGAAATGAATTAAGTTAGTACTCTGCTACATTAAACCATTCTTCTAATCTACAATGTATGAATTCTGAAGAAATGCTAAGACTTAATAACTTCAGTAGATACTGGAACTATTCTAATGACCTATTACCTCCTTAAGCATTATATAAATTGAGAGTTTTGTGGTTTTGTTTTAATTCCTGAAGGTATTTATGAAGAAAGGGGCCTACTGCACAAAATATGATCTGATGTGTCCAATGAAAAAATTAAATACATTATTCTAATGTTAGGTAACAAAATTTCTAATAACAAACCAGCCTTCAGCCTTCACAATAAGGAATTTGGTTGTGTATGACAATTACTTCTTCCAGGATAGAAAGCTTCTATCCAAAATACAGCCTCTGTAATACTAATAAATAAAAACAGCAATCCCATCTCATTGAAAGAATAAGAGATACAAGTTCCGGTTTAGCTCAGGGGGGCAATGAGTCAGCACAGATTTGTATGTTCTGCAAGAGTAACTCTTTTTTTTTTATTTTATTTTTTATTGATTTTGTACAGAGAGGAAGGGAGAAAGATAGAGAGTTAGAAACATCGATGAGAGAGATTCATTGATCAGCTGTCTCTTGCACACCCCCTACTGGGGATATGCCCGCAACCAAGGTACATGCCCTTGACCGGAATCGAACCCGGGACCCTTCAGTCCCCAAGCCGACGCTCTATCCATTGAGCCAAACCAGTCTCGGCTGTAAGAGTAACTCTTAAACCTTGTTTTGCAATGGATGTTAGATGTGCTCTAGCTGAACCTCTTCTCCCTATTCCACATCCAGCTACCTTTCCTAGTACTAGTCCCTGGGGGCACCTCCATGGAATTGTTTGAAACCCACACTTCTGCTGGAAGTAGTTTTAGGGTAGGGGAAAAATGAAACCAGTTAATGAAGAGAGCAGAACTCAATGGCTTGTTAGAATCATCATTTCTTTCACTACATGAAAGCAAACAAAATTAAGCAATGCACAATCCTGGTGCACTATCAACATGGTAGCCCTAGCGAGATAATAGAAATAAATTCTGGATACTCCATCCTGACTCATTACTGCCTATTTGCCCTAAGGATAGTCTCAGATTAGAAAGAATACCAAAATCTAACATGCTGGGCTGTGAACAGATGCATTATATTTGTCTGTAACTTCAATCACTGGGAAATGACCAGAAATACTTTATCTAGGCCATTCTCCTTTGGATCTGAGATAAAAATAACAAGTTCTAGCTGGATGATCTGAAGAAGTGAGAGAATGCAATATTTTTTAAAGTTTCAGTATAAAAAAAAAGTGCTAACTACCATGAAAATTGTTTTTTTTTGACAAGTTCAAAAATTTAAACATGATTGTTTCATTTTTTTTTCTCATAACTGCCAACAAACTAAACATAATTCAATGATAACAAGTCCATGATTTAAGGCATGGTTTTCAAACCTTTTTTAGATAGAACTATTTCTTCAGTGAACTCTTCCCTGATTTATAGGGTGGTTCTATATAAGCCCAGGTACCACAGAATGGCCCTTGCCCGCCACCATTTCTAGCAGTTGCTGTGGAACGATAGGCTCTAGAATGCCGTGCTGGTGGAGATGCACTTCACGTGCCTGTGTGGGGAAAAGGGGGATGAGAAAAGGGAGGGGAGGGTGTGTCTCTGATATGCAGTGTAACCTTATACAAGTTTTAGAGTGGATTCTATTTCTTATGACAAACAGACTTAGGAAGTCAAATGTTCAACCAGAAAGAGGAGCAAATATAACAGCTAAGGAAATAGTTAAAATACACTATCATATTCCAGGCTCTTTATGTGCCTCCTCTCATTTATCCACCCAATGATAAGATGAGTTCAACAGGAAAGAAATTATTTCACGATGTAGTGGAAATCACTGCTAATTTTGACAAAATATATATTTTTTAAATTTTTTCTAAGATACTGCCGAAGCCGGTTTGGCTCAGTGGTAGAGCGTCGGTCTGCGGACTGAAGGGTCCCGGGTTCGATTCCGGTCAAGGGCATGTGCCTTGGTTACGGGCACATCTCCAGTAGTGGGTGTGCAGGAGGCAGCTGGTTGATGTTTCTCTCTCATCGACATTTCTAGCTCTCTATCTTTCTCCCTTTCTCTCTGTAAAAATCAATAAAATATATTTTTTTTTTTAAATTTTTTTTCTAAGATACTAACTTATCATACTATTTCCTGAGATTTGTGTGGGGATGACTTAATTAAAACAGAAAAACTGAAGAGATTGTTACCCGCCCCCCCTTCAAAAAAAATTTTTGTAAATAAATACTGCTAATAATTAGCTCTATAGCTTGATCATTCCAATAGTTTAAACAACTAGCTTTGGGTAACAGAAAGAAGGAAAGAAACAGAGAAGATTCGTCTTTGAAGCTCTCTCTTTCCTGATAAAGCATACTCAGGTTGCAGCAACTGATTATAAGTTCTTCACTGCATGAATAACCTGGAGAGGGCTACAGCACAGCAGGGAGAATAAAATGACAAGGCAAACACTGCAAGAATGAGAATCATCAGTTCACATTCTACTTATAGTGACTGGAGGTTCCAGTAAAGTGGGAACAAAGAACTTCAGTCTGGGGACTGAAGGGTCCTGGGTTCAATTCCAGTCAAGGGCTCCATCCCCAGTAAGCGTGCAAGAGGCAGCCAATCAATGATTCTCTCTTATCATTGATATTTATATCTTTCCTTCTCCCTTCCTCTCTGAAATCAATAAAAAATACAAAAACAAGCCAAAGCCACCCATAACCTATGAACCGATGCAAGGCCTCTGAAATCTCAGCCTTGTGGGAAGAACAGTCTCCCTGTGACTATACTGGGTACTGATGATAAAGTCTCCAAATGCCTGGCCTTAAAATATTTCAAGTAGTGGGCAGAAGTCAGAGGCAGCTCCTTCCCACTGCAGTGTATTTCTAACATTGTTCAAAATAGCTAGCAACATGTTTCTGTTTTCCTGACAGAAGGCACTACTGTTTATTTGGCAAGAAAATCAAGGCAGAAGCCTTAACTGCAGGAAAACTGATCAAAATCCCTATTACAACCACACAAGTTCAAACTGATGACTCGGGTATTCCCAAGAAGCAAAGCTTTTTAAAAGTCATTCCTACTCCTCTTCTCCTCTCCTCCCCCCCACACACTCCAAGCTTTTGGGCCGAGAGGTACACAATTAGCTAATGTGAAGGAAATAAGACTACCCGACCTAAAGGTTAACGTCAGCAATTAGGAGGCCTGAGGCAAGTTAACTCCTTTGTACATTACCCTGAATGTAAAATGGGAACATATTTATTCTTATTTATTAGGAATGTGGTTAAGCCATAGGAGACAACAAATGTGAATATCACCCCCACCTCTCAATATAAACCCAGCAACAGAAATTTAAGGTTGTAAAGATAATTAGTACAGTATTAAGATCATAGACTTTGGAGGTGGCTCTGTCGCTTGCAGGTTACATTACTTCAGGCAAGTTACTTGATATTTCCATTTCTCAATTTCCTCAGCTATAAAATGGATATCATAGTAATGCCCAACTCAGAGAGTTTTCTGAGGATTAAATGAGTTCACACACGTGAAGGACTTAAATGTTAATATGTATTAACTGTTATTATTAGCATTTATGTCTAAAATGTCCTAAGCATAAGATAGTCAAATCACTAGGAAGAGGGAGGGTACTTGCAAAAGGTGAGTGTGGGTAGAGACCAGGTTAAATCTCTGATCTGTTAACTGTAAAAGGATCCAAAGACTGACAGTATTGGCCAAAGGAGGGCTGGCGGTGGGTGGAGAAGTGAGGGAAAATCCATGCCTGGCCAAAAAAAATTTGCTCAAATTATCTTTTCAAATAAAAGGAGAATAAACTCTTTCAATGTGCGACCCTGAGATGTGTTGAACACAGACACGACACAGAGGAAGGCGCTTATAATGATAATGCCTCTTGCTTGCTTGAGTTATGAGACAGCAATGGTTAGAAGATGTTGCAACCAGGGTTTCAGACCCTGGGAAACTCTGGGAAAGAGGAGTCCACAAATTTAAAGAGAGATTTTCCCAAATGAAAGCAGGGAAAAGGAACTACACTGTGTGTCTGCACTGAAATTCCCACAATACACCATGACCACAAGGATGCCAAGTTATGAGTCTTCTGCAAGTCTCTTTCTGAGCCCATAATTTCTGCATATTTCAATAAAATATAAGGCGGTGTTATTTAGGGCTCCCAGAACTTCCTTATTTTCTTCCTCGGACACTGCTTCACTTGTATGTTCTTTGGGCCCATTCTAAAAGCCTTCTGGTATGATTGGAATGCAATTTTATTATCCCTCCATTATGTCTCAGGCCTTTATAATGGACCATTCAACTCCATTTTATGAGACAAATTCCATGAATCACAGCAAAAGTCTTTGGGTAAGGAAACGGGCTTGGTAGCATCTGTTGATCTTCTAGATGCCCTGGCGTGGAATATAAAAAACACACCCAGCCAAACAGCTTGCTTCCTTCTAGTAGTTACAAGTGAGGAAACATAAAAGGAATGTTGTTAATGCTCAGTAATATTAAGAGTATAATGGTATAATGGAATGGTAATAATATCATCTGAATTACATACCATCTTTCATCGGAGACATTCACACTCTATGACTAATCAGTGTTACCCCCTTTCTTTCTGGCAGAGGAGACAAAAAAACAGTAAGCAAGATTCTAAGGACTTGCCCAAGATCACACAGTGACTCAGAAGCAAGCCCAAGGCTGAATCAGTGTTCTGATTTGCACAAAATATGTGTTCCTGTCTGTTCTAGGTGTGCTACTTCTTCCTTCCTTCCTGAGTCTCCTTGGGCTCCTAGTCCTTATTCAGTGAGTGCCCAGGGAGAAACTGCTCTCAGCTCAGGGGCAATATGTCCCACTGGACAGAGGGTCATGCGGCCAGAGGAGCTAAGAACTCAGAGCCATAAACAAAGCATCCCTTTATGGCACCAATAAGTCTTCCCTCTAGTACTATGAAACCTCTTTAAAATATTATCACCTTTTTGGAGATTAGGGAGTGGAGGCAGGTGGAAGAAGGTATAGGGGGGGATAAATGGTGATGGGGGGAAAAATAAAGAAAAAAAAATGTTATCACCTGTTAAAAAGCACCCATTTCAACATCCACTACTAGACAGGAAGGAAAGGGGATGCAGGCATTATTACTTATGTTATGTTAAAGCCACTTATCAGTATGCAAACAATCAATAACTAATGCTTTGGTTCCAGGTCAAATGAACTAGAAGCAAGTGACTAACAAGTTTTCCTGAAATATTAATGTTTAATGCATGTAATATTATTATATTTAAGATAGTTTTTCTTGAATAATTGGTGTTTATTGCATATAACGTTACATATAAAATAATTTTCTTGAGATAGTTTATTGCATGTATTATTATATTTAAGAGTTTTCCTTAAAACATTAATGTTTATTGTATGTGACATTATTATATTTAAAATCATTTTTCATGAAATAAAAAAAGTTCCCATTTGAAAAAAAAAAAGTGAGTTAACAAGTTTGTAAAAATTGTAGGAAGAGCACAAATAATTAAAGTATGTTTTAGGTTTGATATGCTAACTGAAATAAAAATTGTTAATCAATCAATGGTTTCCTTCTGATTTTTTTCCTTTTGCTCCCACTTAACAGAAAGTAGCACAAGTGCACCAGGACAAATTACAGATCTTGCTTGTAAGAAGAATGAAGAGTGAAATTAAATCCCAACCATTACTACACTTTTCTTAATAATGCTGAGGCTTAAGAATGAAGACCTTGGATAAGGGCCCAGAGAAGTGACTCAGCAAGTCTCTTACATGGTTTAGCCATTATTGACATTAGAGATTCTAACTTTCAAAAGTTCAGGACTTTTGAACAGTATATAAAAGATTATATTAAGTTGCCTTTTTTTGCATTCTGGAAAAGAAAGAAACAAGCTAGAAAACAATACCATTTTAATTAAAGCTGATGTATATGAGGAGAAATACTGAATCCACACACTACCTTCAAGGGAACAACACCACAGGTGAGAAAAGACAATGACATGAGTTACCCGGAGTTGAAATGAAGAGATTGACATGATGACTGAACAAATACAATGATGAATCTAGTGAGTGCCAAAGTAGTTTGCTTTCAAGCTTTCCTCTTTTAGTTCAACCTGCGTCACTCTGACTTTCAACTTGTGTGGGAGAAGTGAGATAAAATTTTGAAAAGAAAATGGCTCAAGAAATATGTAGAGATAAAATTTTTATGAGGACTTTTTCTTTGTTTTAGATCTGGTGTTACAAACACCTAGGCAGCTCACCTATGGAATCAAATTCCCCTTCTAATGACAGAGTAGCAGTTAATGCCACATGAAAACTTGGTTTATGTATAATTCAACAAGGATTCTACTTGCCTTCCCTGCCTGGGATATAGATTTAAGAGAAACAATGAAGATGCTGCTTGGGGAATATAGAATCCAAGGGAGCACTGTTCATATTGTATCACATTCAATTTCAATTCTGAACTGAAATGAAAGAGAAGACTATGGATTATTTCAAATATGTAGTTCACTGAAAACAGAAGGGGAGGGGGAAGATTCAACAAAAGTCTAATCATCCACTTTTTAAAAATATGTTTTTATTGATTTTTAGAGAGAAAGGGAGAAGAAAAAATGTTAATCTGCTGCCAATTGTGCATTTCTTACTGGGGATCAAGCCCACGAACCCGGTATGTGTCCGGGCTGGGAACTGAACCGGCGACCTTTCGGTGCATGGGATGATACTCAACCAACTGAGTGATACTAGCCAGGGCTAACCATCCACTTTTAAGAGCTCTATTGGTATTAACCTTTTATATAAGAACACAAAGGTTGGCATAAATCCCTAAAGGGCTAATCTTAGAAAAGAATTCAGAAATGTTAAAAATTCAACAGTTCTAAGGAATGAGAAATTCCTAATCTTGGTCTAAAAAAATCCTCAAAGAACTTCCATTCTTTTCCTCTGTAGTGGGAAATTTGGGTTAACAAAATCATAGTCAACGTCTAGTATCAGCTGCTACTCAAGTCCCAAGGTCTTCACATTGCTCCCCTCTCTTCTGAGGAGGCAATGAGGGCCAGTTAACTAATTAGCTCTACCTCAGTCAAAAGGAAGATCATACATTCCAAGGAATGGGATATTCCCAACTACCGTTATATAATCAACATTCTCACCATCAGCACAAATGATCTTTTTCATTGTGGTCAAAACCCAACAAAAAAGTAAGTCCAGCAACTTAATCACTAGATTTTGAGTCCTGTTTAGGACAGGGGACATGTTTTATTCATCCTTAGATTCCTAGACCCCAACACAGTACCATCAAATAGTTTGCAATCAATAAAAACATTTGTTGTTACCATGTAAAATGTCCGAGTCATCTTCAACAAAATCGATGTCTCTCAAGTCCCACTCTGCGTAATTGTCAAACTCCTGTTTGGGAGGGGGAAAAAATTCCCACCCCAAAGTATCAGTTTTGAGTAATATATTTACTATAGCCATGCATTAAAAGCAAGAAGAAAATACACAGGCAAACATTACTTTAAAAGTAGTGAATGGGGTACAAAGCCAGAATACTACCACAATAAGAAGAAATCACGGGGGAAATCTAAAAAGCTTTCAGGCAGTAGTACAGACAGCAAAAATGAGAACAGTTATGAGCTCACAAATAAAGCCAAGCTATTGTTGTAAAAATTAAAAGTAGTCTGTTTATAAAAGATAACCCCAGAAAATCGAACTCTGACTAGATCTTCGGGTATGAAAATTATCTGCATTAATTCATCAACCTTTTTACTACTTTCTGAGGGCTCTATTTATGCAGGAGTGTGAAGCTCAGTGGATAGATCTGTTCATATTCCATTCAATGAGTACAATTGGTAGGGATAGTGTCTGTGAGGTAGCTCTACAATACCACTTGCCATGAAAAAAAAAAAAATGCAGATCTGGGCATGGCTTGCAAAATTGTTTGTAGGTCACTAAATCTTTCAACTTACCTCCAAGGGCACTGTACTTGTGCATTAGATATAAATCAAGCGACCTGAGACTACATTCACAGGGCTTTTAACTCTATAGCTGAACAAGGAACATGTAGTTTTTATATATATTTGTCATTCTTTATCTCATAAACACAGTACAGGGATCAGCAAACTACAGCCTGAGGCCCAAACCTAGCCCAAGGCCTGTTTCTGTAAACAAAGTTTACTGGGACACAGGCAGGCTCGTTAAGTTTACATATTACCCATGCTGCTTTTGCAACAATAGTGACAGAGTTCAGTTGCAAAATAGACTTTTTTGGTCTACAAAACCTAAAATATTTACCATCTGGCCCTTAAACAGAAAAAAAAAATTGCCAACCCCTGATAGAGTACATCCTTGAAACCCCTTAGGTATGGAATAAGAACCAGACTATGGAAACCCGACACCAAGAGAGTGGGAGCCCACACCAATGACATTTAAGAAACTGGTTCTTGGTCTGAAGAACTTTCACTGCTCTTCATGTGAAAAATGTTTACAAATGAGAAAGTGCACACAAATAGAAGAAAACGTCACTGCTTAAGGGACTACAAATTACAGTGCTTTGAAAATCTTTTCTTTTTTAGTGCTATGCAACCTAGGGCTAAGAGATATTAGCCTCATCAGAAACAAAAATGAGCATCTCCTACCTCAATGAAATCTGCTCGAGCTGGCATGTATCCTGCCATGTCCCGAGAAAGCAAGGAGTCAAAGGTGGGTCGGGGAGGGTCTTCTGCCGCTGGAAAATTTAGAGTTTTTCTTATTTTACTTTAAATGACATGTAAACAGTCATTTACACTCTAAAATATTTCTGTTTGGAGAAAGACAGCGTCTGAGAGAATAAATAAAATTCAAAAGGTTTTTATAAAGAAAAAAATGAAATAAACTATTATGGAAACAGACTGATTTTTTTTTTTTAACTTAAGGAATCCTTGAAAGCAAAGATAGAAAAATTCGCTCTGCTTTTTGCTTTTAAGATGTTAAAAAACAAAGGATCTTTTAATATTACAGAACATAGGTTTTTACCCTGTTTCCTTCAGCATCCTTATGCTTTAAGACTAATCTCAATTGATAAATCTCATCCAACTGAGAGGCCAAAAAAGACCCCATTGGGTTTGGAAGTTAGCTGGAATTGAGTCCCAGTTCTAACTTCCACTAATCCCCTGACATCCACATGACCTTGCACAAATTTAGCCTTTGTGTAAAACAAAAGCACCTGCTCTGTCTAGGTCACTGGGTTTCTATGAGGAACAAATGGTCTAATGGATTTAGGATCTGAGCACAACATTCCAAATACAAGATATCAGGCTTTGAGGCAATCAGCTTCGAAACTGTTTCTATGAATATGAGGGAAGGGAGGGAGGAAGGGAAAACATTCATATTTCATTATTTGTGCTCTGGGAGTCATTGAAGAAAAATGTCTATTTATAATTCATCGTAGTTTTGATTATGTTTTGTCAAAAGACCCATGGGTCCCTCAGCCACATGTGACTAAAAAAAAGAAAAGTGTGCTATTATTGCCACAACTAAGTGAACAACAATAACAAATTGCCTCTTGCACTTAACACTGGGATGATTAATAATTAACGAAAATAAGTCCAAGTAGTGGACTTTCTTATTAACTTATAATATCTATAATAATAAATTCTCCAAAGGGATTATAAAAAGCTTTGTGTTCACAACAGCATGGAACTACAAGTCTCAGGTGTAACTACACGTTGGATCCAGTCACCCTGGTGTCCAGCAGAGAAGGGAGATGTCCCCTCCTGGCCTCATTATGGCCCTGACTCCCAATAATGGCCATGCCAACTCCTCCTTTATTTCGTAAACTCATTAGCTGTCCAAGTCAACAAACCATTATGAATTTGCTATGCAACAGGGCCCTAAGTATCCCTTTAAAAAAGGGAGGCACTTACAGTGAAATGGAATGGCCGTGTCAGCAGTTTTTGCCTCCTCTGCTTGCTTCAGGTTCAGCAGGGTAGATGCAAACAGAGGGTTGTTGATGAAATGTTTCATATAGTGCTTTTCACACTCCTCCTTGGTCTTGGTACACATCTGATTAGCTACATCCTGCCTAGAGGAATGTGAGGAAAGAGAAGGAAGTAGTGCGTTCAACTAAACATAATGATTAAAGCAAGGTTTGTTCTTTACAAATTTTAAGTCCTACCCATATAATGACTGGGATTTTATATTTCCAAACTGGTGTCATAGAGCTTTCATCAGAACAATAAGACAAATACAAGGCTAATAATGGTGTAATCTGCTATTCCAAGATATAGAAACAATATCTGAAAAGCAGCTCCCTCCCGCTGCTGCAGCGCACTGCGTTGCATGAGGCCAGGACCCAGGACTGACTTCCACCACTCCAGCCAGGACCCTAGACTGGTGTTCGGTTGTCCATCCAGACGTTTAGGTCATGACAGATCCTGGCTCTTTATATATCAGGATTTTTATTATAATAAATGCTGAATGAATAAAACAAGCAAAATGTGAACTCAAGTCTCTCTTCTTCAAAGACCTCAACATAAGGGAGGCAGCATAGTATGTTCTAATAATATCAGGAAAGATTATATATACTAGGAAATCAGGACAGGGTGGATCTAGTTAAGAGTCCTTTACTAATAAGATATGTGATCATGAGAAATCATTTCAGGTCCCTAGGCTTAAGATTCTTCATTAACAAAATATATTTAATAAAGTCTCTGTTGTCTAGTTCATGAAATGGTATCATCGGTGTCAAAGAATAAAAATAAAAGCAGTAGGATTTAAGTGTTACTACCTAAGGCAACAGCAATACCTGCTGTTCAATTCTGCCAAACTTGGACTAAAGCAGGTACTGAAAGCTAAAAATAGGGAATGCAAATAGGAAATCTGTCAAACTTGAGTCTTAGGTAAGCTGTGGCCATCTACCAAAAGTCTAACACAGTTAAATGACAAGGGCATCCAGAGCCAAGAATTCACAAAATCAGAAAGGAGCAATGACTAATGAGTCTAAATTTCCCCACTACTCAGAAAGAATAACCAGCCTTCCTTAGGTCGATCCATTCAAAATGGTCTTTTAAGCTTCCCAGTCACAGACCATGAAACATCCCCTATCTCCCTGTGAGGCATTTCAGAGGACTTGTCTTTAAGTCATGGATCAATAGGAAAGCAACACATGATCCCCAAACTTCTTTTTCTGAGGCTCCTCCCTTTACTCTTTACATGCACCTTTTCCTCTGAGCTCACTAGGCAGGTCAAGCCCTATCACCAAGCTCTTACCAATTTCCAAAGCCACAGTCCATCACAGCTTCTAAAAGGGCCATTTCTTCTTGAGCAGTCCAGCTGGGGTCAAGAACAGGAAAATCTGAGGTCTAAAAAAAATATTTTGCCTAAGAATAGATATAGAAATGGAACCTAGTAACCTCGACTCTAATACTTATTTATGTCCTTTTTCAATACCTATTCTATTTTACTAACTATTCTCATGGTGGTCTACCACCTTACTCCTATTTCCACCATCTAGGTTCTCCAAAAATATTATCACCCATAAAGTCCATGTAACTCATACAGAAATATAAGCATTTTTAAACTTAGCACAAAGCTAGAGATAAATATTATAGTATGCTTCCATTTAGGTCAGAAAGGAGGAAACACACGAGGGTGTGTAATTTATAATGAAAGAATAAACATACATAGTAGAGGAATCTTCTGTAAGTAAACTACATCAAGCCTTAAATTAAATTTTTTTCACTTGTAATGCTGATGGTAAGACACCCATGGAATTACACTGGTGTCAGAATAAACCAAAGGAAAATGGTCTGGTTAAATGGAAAGATCTAGAGTTTGGCTTATGGAAAGGCCCTGACCCCTTGTTAACCTTTGGTTAAGGGTACATTTGTGTATTTCCAGAAAACTCCTCCAAGCCCGTGTGGATTCCTGCAAAGAACATTCAATATGCATCTGAGAAAGGAACTGACCAGACTACTCCAGCTACAGATAGCAGTAGCCCCAAGCAACACGCTGAAGATAAGAATTGGTAAGAGAACAGAGACAGAGGAGAAACAGTCCAGAGATGACCTGGGGGATGGTGTAGAAGCCTGGCCATGCTAGCAGTAATCAGTTGTACGATGGTGCAGGTTGCCCTGCACAAAGCCAAAGAAGGTCTGATCTGCACTGTCACTGCCCACAGTTTGACCACCATTCAGAACTCGAATATCATTGCTCTCATGTCACAGGGGACAGTGACTGAGAAGGGAACCCATAAAGAATTGATGGCCCAGAAAGGAGTTTACTACAAACTCGTTCCTTAGATGCCTGACAAAAATTTTAAAAGGACATGAAAGAACTCAATCTTTTTCAATGGATCTCCCTACATTTGCCTCTTAGCATAACCACTATTGTCTGTCTCATTCTTGTTCCTATATGTTTAATTCTAGTCTGAAGATGTGAAATAAAAAGCCTTAAAAGAACTCAAGCCCTGCAGATGGCATACACCTTTCTAAATTTATTAAGAAAACAGCCAAAACTGGTTTGGCTCAGTGGATAGAGCGTCGGCCTGCGGACTGAAAGGTCCCAGGTTAGATTCCAGTCTAGGGCATGTACCTTAGTTGCGGGCACATCCCCTACGATGTGCAAGAGGCAGCTTATCGATGATTCTCTCTCATGGATGTTTCTAACTCTCTATCCCTCTCTCTTCCTCTCTGTAAAAAAATCAATAAAATATATTTTTTTAAAAATAAATTAATATATTAAGAAAACAAAAAGGGGGAAATGCCGGAGGCTAAAACCAACAGTTATTGGCATATTATGCAAAAAAGACCCATTGGAAAGCCAATGGACTTTGATATTCAACATAATATTGCCTGGCTGTGGGCTCAATGGCTGAAGGCAAGTCCCTAACCTAATAATCCTTTCACTGTTTACCAAATTTTACCTTTGATATGCCTGTATGTATTCCTAAAGGGCAAATGTGTATTCAAGTGAATAAAAGCAGACAGGACCCAGAAGATGGGGAGTTTCTCCACTAGAGGATCCAGCCTTCTAAATTTCTTGTCTAGTGTTTTCATTTGTGCATGGCCCCTTCTTCAGATCCTGAACCCTAGCCGTAAATGGATAGGGCAATACATTTAAAAGAAACGTTTACCTATGGCAAAAGGAGGGAGGAAACAGTGGAGAGGACAGGAATAGAAGCTAGACTCTGAATATTCCTTGTTTTGCAGATTTGACTTTGAAACATAAATATTGTATGTAGTTACTAAATTTTAAAATTGTAAGAATTAAAAAACAAAATGTGACAAACATGAATTTATTTTAAGGCATAATCACACAAAAGGAAATTATCTCAATTGACTTTAAAATACAATGATTTGTACATCTGTAGAATATACCTTAAAAGTTAAAAGAAACTGCCTGGCTGGTGTTGCTCAGTGATTTACATTTTTAAGAAGCTACCCAGGTGATGTTTCTCCATTAAAGTTTAAGAATCACTGGTATAGGTATAAAGGGTCTGATAGAAAGTGTTGCCTTGATTTGTTAAAGGTTCTAAGAAGTATAAGATAAAAATAGGCACAGAATTCAGAAACCTTAACACATCACCCACCAAAGCATGAGTAATTTCCAAAATTACAGCACTGTGAGGTAATAAAAGTACTGAAAACCATTTCAAGTTTCCTGAGACTTCATATGCCAAAAATAAATAAATAAAAATAAATAAAATCACATTTTTAGTGGCTTCATGAATAGAAAACCAAAATTTGCTCATTATTCCTACAGAAGGAAAGAGTAGAATAGATAGGACTGGTAGAAAAAGAGGAACTATTAGTAACCTCCAAATGCTCCTCAAAATGTTTGTTTAGGTGTTGAATATGTGAGAAGGATGTAATCATTAGTAAATGGACTTGGAGTGAAACTTAGTACTTCTAGCATTAGGCAAAAAGCACTGTGTCCAGAACCGCTAGAGCTCATGGTTATCTTACAGTGAATAACTATCAACCTACTCAACATATACTTAATTATTAAGGAATTATTTTCACAATTCAAATGAATAAATGTGTATTCTGGCTCAAGATATTCTTTTAGGAATTTGGGAAAAATAAAACAGCTTTCTGAAGATCTGGTAACCTTGATGAAATGCACTCAAAGCCAACGCTACTCCAACCATACTTTATTCGTTTTGTAATTAACAAATAGGAAAAAAATGTATTGATATGAGAAGATATTCCACATCATATGTTGTAATAGAAATACCAATTAAAACAATTACCACTGTACACCTATTAGTATGGCCATTAATTCAGAATAGATAACACTAAATGCTGGTGAGAATGTGGAGTAACAGGAACTCTCACTGACTGCTGCTGGGAATGCAAAATGATACAGCCACCATAAAAAGATCAGTGATTGCCAAGGGTAAAGGGGAGGGATGGATATATAGGCAGAGCACGGAGGATTTTTAGGGGCATGAAACTATTTTGTATGATACTATAATGGTGGATACATGATATTACAAAACTTCAGACTGTACAACGCCAACAACGAATGCTAATGTAAACATGGAATTTGTGTGATAATGAAGTATCAATGTAGTTTATCAATTATGACAAATGTTTCACTGTGGTGAGGCTATTGACAATAGGGCAGTCTTAAGTGTTTGTGGGGGCCAATAATATACACTGAGTCTCCAGATTATTATGATCTCTGAACCTAATATTAGAGACCCAGTGCATAAATTAGTGTATGGGTGGGATCCAGCCAGCCTGGCCAGGGGGAGGGGACATGGTGGTTGGCCGGCCTGCCTGCTGGTCGAACTCCTAGTCGAGGGGACAATTTGCATATAAGCCTCTTATTATATAGGATATACACTGAGTGGCCAGATTATTATGCCTCCAGAGATCATAATAATCTGGCCACTCAGTGTATAGAAAATCTGTACTTCCTACTTACTTTTACTGTGAACCTATAACTGCTCTAAAAAACAAAGTTTAATATAAAAAATGCATTCCAAGTTTTACAATTAGTGAAGAAAGTAGTTAGAAGAAAAGTATTTAGAGAGGTTAAGGTATGGCTAGTCAGTTGGCTGCCAAAAACTCTTATTAAAGAACATTTTAAAAATTAATTTATTATAGGTGGGGATCTGATTCTCAGCATTGCAGGCTCAGAAATTCATCTTAACAGGGCCACACAAATGAGACTCAGATGCCAATTCACCCTTTCTAAACTTTTAAGAGACTGAGGCAGATATAGTACAGTGCTGTAGTAGGCATAATTCTAAAAATGACTCCCTTCTACCCCAAGGATTCCTGATCATTCAAACACTAACTACATATTCATGTGAATGAGCTCTGCTGATGGGACTAAGGTACTAATCTACTGACCTTAAAAAAGGAAGAGTGTCCTGCACTACCCAAATGTAGAAGAGGGAGGCATTATTACTATAAAATAAATGCCCCAGCCAGCATTCTTTCCTGTAAGAAAAACTACACGGTTAACTACAAGTTATTACCTGATAACTGACAAAGCTATCTTGACAAAGGTATACAGACCTGCCAAGCAGGTACAATATTACTTTGGCTTACTAAAGTGCCCATTCCTTTGGCTAGAGCGTGGAAATACACTGCCGACATCTGCCTCTCATTCCCTCTTTAAGAGGTGGTAATACAATTAATCAAATTACAGCCGATTCTTACTCTGGCCTATAAGCCAGTCTTTCTTTTCAAAATGATTTTATGTATTACCTCATTCACTCTATGTTCATTTAAAACTTAACTTCAAAAAGTTAACTAACTTTTCTTATGGAAGGGGATAGAGTACCAGGCATAAACATTAAGACTATCCACATGCATCATATAAAAATACCATTAGCTAAAACATCGACAATACATCTATTTTGTTTTATCAATTAACCTAAAAAGCAGTGTAGCCCGGCCAGTGTATCTCAGTGGTCGAGTGTCAACCCATGAACCAGGAGGTCATGGTTTGATTCCCAATCAGGGCACATGCCTGGATTTCACAGTAGGGGGTTAGGTGGATGCAGGAGGCAGTTGATCGACATTTTTCTCTCATCGTTGTTTCTCTCTCTCTCTATCCCTCTTCTTTTCTCTCTCTAAAATCAATAAAAATATATTTAAAAACAGCGTAATTCTTATGTCAGTAAATGTCAAAAAGTGCTTCCTTTAAGTTCTTTCTAAATTTGAAACAAAAATCTGAGTATTTAAAAAGATTTTTGTACTTAATAATGCCTTAGAAGATCCATAAAACTGAAAAATTTACTGGGTAATGATTACCTAATTTAGGAGAGGAGAAAAGGAGAGCCTTGGAGGTGAAGAAAAAAAGACTAATTCGCATGTAAGACTTGAAAAATAAACAGAAAAACTAGAAAGAAAAACAAACAGAAATTCCCTGCAACTTCATCATTACCATTATTTCATACGTATGATCACTTTGATGCTTCTTGTACTCAAATCCTCGAGTGAAACACTGCAAAAAAGAGGAAAATTAAGTTACCAAAAAGCTACTTTTTGAGATGCTTTCTTAAGAGACAGTACCCTGGCGAGTGTGGCTCATGGGATGCTTCTTCCAATCAATAGTGTCTTGAATAAAAAAATATATGGTATTTGTTGTGTGACCTTGAGCAAATTATAATACTTAACCTTCCCCTTGCTCAAGTTTCTTCTATAAAATGGAGAAACTATGATCATATTTACTTTACTGGGGTGTAGTGATGATTTAAGAGTTAAATCATGTATACTAGTAGTACCTAAAGTAGTGCCTAGCACAGGGTAAGCGCTTATAATTAGTATTACTATTTCTACCATCATCCACAAAATGGTTTGTTACCTTGTCTGTCACCTGCCCGAAGATAACTCTTCAATAAGACAATAGACATTGTGTCATAGGTACTATCAAAAAGAATAACTCTCCTATTCTGTTCCTATAATCTCAATACTTAATTCTACTGGCTAAAACAGTGTTAAGCATTAAGTTGATACCTCTGTGAAATATGGGCACACTTCGTTTTACTGTACTTCATATTATTGCACTTTACAATGATGTGGTTTTTTTTTAATAAATTGAAGTCAAGACCCTCTACTAGCAAAAAGATTACAACTTGCTTTATTGTGAAAGTCACTTTATCACGGGCTCTAGAACCAAACCTGCAACAGCTCTGAGATATGCCTGTGTTCAACAGTCTACCTCATCCGTCTGCTCTGTTCCCCAACTTTTCACTGGTGAAATGTATCCTGGAAGGTTGATGGGAACAGACTTAATAAGATATGGGCCTTCTGAGCAATCGATAGTCATCTCTGAATTTATTACATCCATCAAAAAAGAAACACCTAGGAGAGGCAGGCCTCTCCTTAACGAGATACCTGTAAGCAGAGGAAAAAAGGAGGTGGCCCACATTCTGCACACTTGATGTAAGGCTCCATGAGGTAGGAGGAGCAGCCTCGGCAAGGTGGCTTATCAGAGGGATCACCTAGAACAAAAAGAAAAAAATATATACTAGCTTCAAAACATCTTCTGATTATCTTTAGAGCCAAGAGGGTGAAAATCTGCAAATGACTATACTCTTAGTGAGCTATGCTGAAAGTTCATGGAAACAAGAGCTCATTCTAAATAAGAACCAAAAAAATTATGTTCCTTTTTTTCAGAGTAGCTTTGTTCCTCCCTACAGAGTACCTACTGCTTTAAACAGCATCTACGTAGATATGTCCCCTACATAAAGAAATTTACAAACACAGTGTTTTAACTGGAAGTTTCATAACACCCATAACATGTTTCTCAAGGAGAAAATGATCATCCAACACTGGCCAGGGCTTCCTCCTTCTTTTTTAATGGATGAATAATACTCCATGGTATCAATTATCTAACCTAATGGTTCTCAACGATCCTCTAGGAAAGCATTTTGGAAAACTGAGATGCTTTTTTGTTGTCACAAGGACTAGGGAACACGACTGGCACTTAGCCGGCAGGCACCAGAGATGCCTGAGACATTTCTCCACAACAAAGAATTGGCCTGTATCTGCACAACTTTCAAATGTCCCACCAGATATTCAAGTAGCTAAAAAAAAAAAAAAAAAAAACTACTCAAAATTACATGACCAAGAACCCAGTTTCATACTACATAAAACAAAATGTTTTTGATAGTTTTTATATTGAATTTCCCAGAAAAGCAACTGCATGTACTACCAGAGATTTTTATCTTGTTTTGTTCAGAACTTTACCGAGTTATTCAAGCTTGTGGTATTTGAGTCACCAACACATCACACATGAATCATTCATTGTGCATGTGTAGTTTTAAGATGCCGTGATTCAATATATGCATGCAAGTATCTGATTACTTAAGTCATTTTGTCTTCTACTATAATCATGTCTAAACATATTGAGATGCATATTATCTTATTATAAATTCCTTCTCTTTTATTTAGCCTTTGTGTTATAGTTAGGGCATTATTGTTTTTATTTCTTTGAAATCATGGTTGTAGATAAGTTATGTTATCTATGTATTTAATTTCCAAACAGTAAAAGGGGTTTTAAAAATATTATTTTTAAAAAATCACCAGGTCTCATAAGGTTGAGAACAACTAATTTACATAGTTCCCTATTGGTGGACATTTATAATAATCATTTCCAATTATTTACTATTATAAAGAATGCTGAGATGAATGTTCTTGTATATACAATTGTTCACATTTTGTTCCTTAGGATATGTATTTTCCTAAACTAAAACTGGTATATAGAGCATTAGGCAAGTGCTGACTAGCCATACTTTATCCTCTCTCTAAATACGTATCTTATTAAATCTATTCCCGTCAATCTTCCACTTTTTTATCAACTAGGAGTAGAAAACTTCTCTATAACTTAGCAGCAGGGAAAGGATTTTTTATATATTTTTTTATTTTTATTTTTTTTTATTATTATTATTTTTTTTTATTTTGAAGGAATATTTAATATTAACATTGTGAGTTATTATCTTTTGCATATCCAAGTTACACATTTCAAACAAATCGTCATTTATATTTACAGTATACAGATGCAAAGCTTTAATTTCCCACTAAATCATCACTTTCTTAAAATGGTACATGTGATGTTATGAAATTAGCTATTAAGCATTCGAAATAGTGGAAAAGAGGTGAAAGGATTTTTTTTATCATCGTTCAAAATCCAAGAAAATAAAAGGTTAATAAAGTTGAATGCATAAATAAAGCCAACAAACAAAAAACTCTTGGCAAAAAAAACACTGGAAGCAAAGTAAAAAAGCTAATAAGTTGAAAATATCTGCAAATATATCATAAAGGGCTAAAATCCCTAATATTACAAAGAACTTGTAAAAATTGAGAAGGGGCCGGGACCGGTTTGGCTCAGTGGATAGAGCGTCAGCCTACAGACTGAAAGGTCCCGGGTTCGATTCCGGTCAAGGGCATGTACCTTGGTGCGGGCACATCCCCAGTTGGAAGTGTGGAAGAGTCAGCTGGTCGATGTTTCTCTCTCATCGATGTTTCTAACTCTCTGTCCCTCTCAATTCCTCTCTGTGTAAAATCAATAAGATATATTTAAAAAAAAAAAAAAATTGAGAAGGGCCCTGGCCAGTGTGGCTCTGATGGTTGGGCACTGTCCCGTGCTCTGAAAACTTGCTGGTTTGGTTCCCAGTCAAGGGCACATGCTCCGTTGCAGGGAAAAGGGTATTTCCTTTTTTTCTATCAGACAGTATTTCTTATCAAGGCATCACAAATGTGTTCCGAGGAACCCATCTGCTTTTTAAAGAAATCCATCCAGCCCAGCCGGTATGGCTCAGTGGTTGAGCATCAACCTATAAACCATGAGATCATGGTTGGCTTCCTGGCCAGGGCTAATGCCCAGGTTGTAAGTTCGGTCCCCAGTAGGAGGCATGCAGGAAGCAGCCAATCAATGATTCTCTTTCATTACCGATGTTTCTCTCTCTCTTTCCCTCTTCCTTGCTCTTTGAAAACAGTAAAAAATTTAAAAAATGAAAAATAAAGAAGATAAAATAAATGCATCTTCAGGTTAATCATACTATGGTCCATTTGATCTTAGTTTCCTTATAAGATCTAGGGTGATATATTTGTGTCATATGTTCAGTGGGCAATCAATAATAATTGATTTTACTTTGAGTTGATACTTATTCCTTTAGAGTCAGATTCACAGGGCTTTGTTTAACTTCAAAGTGCTTATTTTTCCTCTTTGATCAACTTCTCCTTCAGTTTGCTATTACTATTCACCTGAGACTTGTGCACACAGTACTTACTGCTAAAGGAACCCAAACGGTCCATTCTTATTTGGCAAAGACTGTTGTTTTGATCTTCCTCGATGCAGTGTCCCTTCAAGAAGATTTCAGAACTGGCCACCACTCACCAAGCTTGACAACCCCCTATGAGCAAACAAAGTTGCACTTGGATCAGGAAATGACTCAAAGGGACAAGATAAAGAGAAATTAATGCAATGTACTCAACTCTATTACAAACCGAGTTCTGTTAACACCAAGCAAATATTTTATCTATAGGAGCCTGTTTCCCCAATAAAATAATTTCTACCTCCCAGAGGTGTTGTAAGGATTAACTATCAAAATCCATATAAATGATGTACCATGGTGCCCAGCCTATAGTAAGCCCTCTACAAAAGCTACACAGTCCTAATAGACAGCCGTCGGTTTTCTCTGCCCGCATCACTCCTCTCCTTAGCCCCCTTCCTTTGGAAACTGACTCTCAGACATTTCATATGATTCAGTGGGGTTGCCACTTAAAATATGTCATTCTCTACCCTCCCACTAGCTAAAGCAACCAGATCTCCTCGTAGAGAAATCTGTATCTAAGACATTCAAGGACAGAAGGCAGCTGAAACTCAAACATTCATTAGTCAAATATTTGGTCCATGAGCTCTGGCTGTTGAGATCCCCATCTCCAAAGGTGGCCCAACTATGTTATAATAGTATTTTTTTTTTTCTTGTTTCTCTAACTTTCCAATACTTTAATTGGAATTCTGTTGCTAGAATCCTATCTATGAGAACAGTGGTTGGCAAACTCATTAGTCAACAGAGCCAAATATCAACAGTATGACGACTGAAATTTCTTTTGAGAGCCAAATTTTTAAAACTTAAACTATATAAGTAGGTACATTGTTATTAACTTAATTAGGGTACTTCTAAGCTGGCCTTTGCTAAAAACTCAAGGGGCCAAAGAGCCGCATGTGTATTAGAACATACATTTGTTCAGTTATTTACTCTTTAAATATTCAATAGGTGTGCCCAATGTACAGTTTCTTCCTAAAGGCAAAATGAAATCATATTTCACACTAAGCCAAGAAATAGCCCAAACGGTGTAGCTCACTGGTTGAGCGTGGACCCATGCACCAAGATGTCACCAGTTCGATTCCCAGTAAGGGCACATGCTCAGGTTTCAGGTTCGATCCCCAGAATGGGGGGTGCAGGAGGCACCCCCTAATGATGTTTCTTGCTCATCCCACTCAAAAATGTTCCTTCCTCTCGCTCTAAAATCAGTAAAATAATTTTTTTTTAGTCACTGTGGAGAAAAAGTAACAAAAACAAAAACAGAAAACCCACATCCCTCCTTCTATACTCCCATCGTTGTTACCTCTCTCTTTTCTGGTGTTTTTCACATTCTAATTTGGGAGGATTATTTCTGCATGCATATTTCCCCAAATTTTTAGACTAAATAAAAGCAGGGACTACACCCCATACAAATTTGTATGCTTTAAAAGTACCAAGCACACAGAAAGAACCCAGTAAACACAAATGTAATAGACAAATGTCTTTTTTTGCGGTGGGCTAAGGTAAAGAAATTCTCCCTCTGCTTTATTGTCAGGGAAAAGTTAGTCTTTCAAAAAAAAATGAATTTGGCAATGGGTATTATGCACTTGATAATACAACAATGACCAACATTTACTGAGCTTCTCTCATATGCCAGATATTGTGTACCACTGTATGTGGATTATTTCTTTGAACCTTCTGAGGCATGATGCTGTTTCAAAGGAAAGGAAGCCCTGAAAGATTGTCACTTGTTCAATGCCTTACAGGTAGCAAACAGCGGCGCCATTTCAACAGAGGCTGAGAGAGAGAGGTTCAAGTTAAGGATGTATAAACAGTCTGATAAATATTCGATGTCATAAGCAACACTCCTATATAATAAAAGCCTACTATGCTAAGTGTCTGGTCATCTGTTCAACCAATCAAAACGCAATATGCTAATGATATGCCAAGGCTGCTCAACCACTCACTATGACATGCACCGACAACCAGGGAGCAGATGCTCCAACTGGTAGGTAAGCTTGCTGCTGGGGTCCAGCTGATCAGGCCTGAGCTAGATGGGCTGAATATGCCCTGGAGCCCTCCCTTGGTCCATCCCCAGCTGGCCAACTTCCCCAACCCCAATCATGCACCAATGGGGTCCCTCAGCCTTGCCTGCATCCTCTCGCAATTTGGAACCAGTTTTGGCCCGATCCCACAGGCCAGGCCAAGAGACCCCACTGATGCACCAGGCCTCTAGTCTATAATAATAAAAGCATAATATGCTAATTAGACAGAATGTCCTTCCAGCAAAGCTGGGGCTGCGAGGGAAGCCAATACCAGCAGCCAAGAGAAGGAAGGACCTACTCTTGCATGAATTTCATGCATCGGGCCTCTAGTATTTCAATAAGCAGAATCTTCTTTCTTCTTCTCACGAGACATTTCTGACAGTAACACTCACGAAAGCATGAGTGCTATCTCCAAATCAACATTTACCAAATTCAAACACATTACGGGGGAGGACGAAAGGCACGAAAACAGCAGCATTCAATGCGGGGCAGGGAGGACAGGTGCCGGCTGCGGAGTTTTGCAAACTTCAAATCCTCCCTTCGTTCCTTATTAGCTGTAGGACCTTGGGCAAGTCATTTTACCGGGGCCTCAGTCAGCCTGAGCTGTAAATAAGGAAGCTGAAGTGCCTACTGTAGGTGTAAAGCCTACGTGAAAACCCAATGGAAACGGGGGTAGGGGCGGAACACACAGAGGCTGTCCTTAGTTTGGATGCACGCCGCACTGCAGAGACAGGAATGCAGAGTCTGAGGCAGCGCACAGGCACCCCAGGCTCGCCGGGGGGCGGGGCCTGAGGGCGGGGCCTGAGGGGCCATGCATGCTCCGCCCCGCCCTCCCCGACAGCGCGACGTGGCCGGGCGCCTCCCGCCCGCCCGCCCCCGTGCCGCGTCTTCCCGATCACCCTGATCCCGACCCCCCTCCGCACCTCGCGATCCTCGCCTCCTTTTCGTCCCGTTAAAGGGGCTCGAGCCCGTCGCCGCCGTCCCGCAGCGCGCCGCGCCTCACCGCGCCGTGCCCCCTCCTCCACGCCGAGGAGCAGCCAGCCACGTGCGCGCCCTGGGCTGCGCGCGCGCTCCCGAGCGGCGCAGGCGCGAGCTCGCCCCGCCCCCTCGCGTCCGCCGGCCCCGCCCCCTTCCCTCCGGGGCCTTCGCGCTGCACTGCGCGCCGTCGCCACCCTCGCGGCCGGCGGCCTGGCCTCTCCGCGAGCCCGCTGCTGCCCTCTGGCAGAGGCCGGGGGGGACGCGGGGGAGCCGCCCGCCTGACTCTGAGTCCAATGGTAATCACTTTTCCCGGGACGTGCGCTGCGGGTCGCCAGAGGCTCGCCGGGGCGAAGTGACTGACGATCGATCCCCTCCCGAGTGCCATCCGTGAGGCGGGCCGGGCCAGGCCGGTACTGCCCTGATTTTTTGTGTGTTTTTAACATCCGCCTCTGGAATCCGGGTGTTGCGTGCTGCTCATGGATTTCCCAGGCTGAATGGTTTCAGGGTGTGCGGGGTACGTTTTATCCCGATGCTTCTGGACAGCCGACGTGATCTCCTTTGGAGAGAGCCAGCCCCTCTGTGGGCTGCAGAGGCCCGGAGTGAGGCGCAATGATGAGAGGATGTGGTGGTCCACTCTGATGTCAATCTTGAGGGCTAGGTATGTCCTAACTCTTACTACTAATAATAATTCTTCTTATAACAGCTACCCTATGTCGAGTTATGTATTGCATGCCAGGCATTGTACAAAGGAGGTTAACATGCATGGGCTCATTTAATCTTCCAAAAAACATGGTTGTGAGAGGCACTATTATTTTCCCCATTTTCCCGGTCACTTTACAGGTGAAGACATTTAGACTCCTGTTTATAAATAATTTGGGGTCGCACTGCTACAAAAGGGCTGGCCAAGGAGATGCAAACTGTGGTCTATCTTAACCTTGAGGCTGGTACATCTAGTTAGAAGTTTGTCTTTCATAAAGTTGCCTAACCTTTTTTAGAATTTATCTACATGGCTTATGAGGCTTTTTTTGTTTTTTAATTCATTTTTCAGTATGTGAGAGACAAGTTCATTGTTAAAAAAAATAAAAAAAAAGTCAGAAAATTCACGTGACCAAAAAGAATGTGAAAAGCAGCTCTTGGATGTTAAACTGTTACCATTTTGCTATATACTTTGCAGACATTTTCCTGTGCACCAATAAATATAGAGTCGTTTTACATTTGTTGTATCCTGAAAACCTATTTATTCACTCAACAAATATTTAATGAGCAGACATTGTTCTGGGTGCTAGGAATTCAGCAGTGAACAAGATAAAGTCTGCCTCTGATAATAGTGTGGGAGGATGATAATAAGCAATCCTGTATAATAAAAGCCTAATATGCTAAGTGTCTGGTCAACCATTCAACCAATCAAAGTGTAATATGCTAATGATATGCTAAGGCTGCTCCACCACTTACTATGACATGCACTGACCACCAGGGGGCAGATGTTTCAACCGATAGGTTGGGGTCTGGCTGGGGACTGAGTGAGACAAGCGGACACACCCTGGGTCCCTCCTCAGCTGGCCAGCTTCCCACATTCCTCCCCAGCCCACATCGTGCACCGGCGGGGTCCCATGGCCTGGCCTGCGCCTTCTCACAATCTGGGACTCCTTGGGGGATGTGGGAGAGCAGGCCAGCCCAAGGGACCCACTGGTGCACAAATTCATGCACCGGGCTTCTAGTAACAGAATATATTGCTAAATAAAGATAATGCTCAGTGATGTGTCAAGTTTTATGGGGGGGAAAATCAGGATAAAGGGCTAGGAAGGATGTGGGGAATGCTCCTTTAGGTGGGATAGACAAAGAAGGTATCTTAAGGGAGGATCACATCAGTAGAATTCTGATCATTAAATGAGGGAGGCAGATATGTGGATTTCTAGAGGGAATCTATTTTAGGAGAAGAAAAAATGGCAATTGGCAGTGGCCCTAGGATAGGGGCTTGGTTGGC